GTAATTATAACAATGTGATTTATGACCCTGTTACACTGGCATGTCATGTTGCTGGGCAGATTTTGTTTCAATTTTCAGCGTGTGTTCTTAGTCATTTCATTTTCTACTTTTGCTTCAATTGTATTGCCCTAGTTCACATGTTACGGTCAAAATTAAGCCTGTTCTGTGTGGATACTTATGCTTATAGTATAGCCATGGCCATTAATTGGTATGCCATACATAATGAGAAATAATAAATTAATCCTCTTTCAGAATTTTAGTACACCATACACACCTTGGTCCACATTACATTAGAAAATGTTTTATTTGTTGAAAGTAATGATGAAAGGATTATGGAAAACAAACAATAATTAAATGTTTTATTTATTCAGTTAATATAGTTATAATACATTGTTAATCTACAATTTATTTCACTAAACACAGAGCTAGCATCAAATTACTGAGCTGCTAATTTTACGTCCTGTTGTTAGATTCTGAACATAACACACAAAATGTGTTAAACTGTGCAACACATCAAGTGTGTTAAGCGTTTTACACATTTTTTCAATGTTTACACATTTTCTTACACAATTCACACAAAATGTGTTAATAGTGTAACAACACATTTTTTGTCATTTTTTAACACATCCTTTCTAAGAGTGTACCTTGGCATGCTGAAATACTGTTAGTATTGAATAAAACAGTAAAATATGGGACCATGGTAAAGATATAATAAAGTGCTTAACAAACAAACAGACTAGTTCTGATGTTTTTGGCATCACATACTCTTTTGGAATAAGTTGGTCTATTTCTTATCCTTCAGTAATGAAATAAATATGTTTTACTAGAATAAGACTAGCAAAATCACACGCAAACACTACTTTATGTGGTATTGAAAACCACATAAAGTATGTACTGATCATCAGAGAAAATAGATGCTTGTATTATATATTTGTTTGTTATTAGTGGTGTCATCAAGTATATGCAGCACTAAAATGCTGTTGCAAAGTAAGGGGGAGCAAATCAAAACAATATGTGCAACAGTACGTGATCCTTTATATATGACTATTTGATATTGTACGTCTTAACACCCATAGTTCACCCGTGAAAGGGGTTTTGCCTATTTTACCTACATTGAAAGCTTCTATGGATTGTTAAGTTAACCAGCTTACTTCTGATTGGAAGTCTAATCAACCACGGAAACTGAAACCACCTGTCAGGGAGCGACCCAGGACCCTGACAGTATCACTGTGATACTCACTCCTTTTTTTTAGACCTGGTTTAATTCTGGTATAGTTGAATATTTGTATATAATCCCTGCAGCTGTCAGACTCTATAACAGGGGTCACCAGAGCATGTTTCCAGCAATTAGCCTTAAAAAATAATAAGCACATACTTTAGTTAATCATACTAGATGCAAAAACTGCTTTAACTGCTTAAAAAAATAATTATATCTGTCAATATGAGGTTTCATGTTAAAGTTACTCAGTCTTTATTCCTATTCTGTGCTAGCAAACGAATGGTCGCGGTGATAACTACATTTGCTATATTCAGAGCTAACGACAATATTGTCATTTTACACAACACTGCTACAGTTAGGTGCTGACTCTGGCGTTGCTCAGAGACAACATAATGCCCGTCGGAGCCGCTAGCCAACTACCACACTGGTTCTAAGAGCAATTTCTGAATACTCTAATACATAAATAAAGTAAATTAAAAGTAAAAAAAAAAAAAGTCAAAACAATATGTGCAACAGCACGTGATCCTTTATATATGACTATTAGATATTGTACGTCTTAACACCCATAGTTCACCCGTGAAAGGGGTTACACTTTACACAAGGGGTACTCTTAATGTATGTATTTTGTATTGCTGTCCCTCGTTCTCCCTGCTTGTAGACATATGTGCATGTAGGTGTGTGTGTGTGGGTGTGGCCTTGGCAGGTGATTGGCCACACCTGAAGACCGTGACACACCTGCAGCTGATCAGGCCTGTCGGAGGAGCTACTTGAGAGTGTGGTGGAGCTCTCTCCGATGCTGGATCATTGCATGGCTTCACGTTAGTCTCTCGACCAGTTCTTAGTTTAAGTCTCCTGCATTATTGTGTGTCTGACAGCTGCCTCTCCCTTATGTCCCCAGGAGTAGCGGGAGACGAGAGGGCAGCGAGCACGGGGTGCTCATCACAGAGAAGCGGAGACAGGAGCTCTAACACTGGGAAGAGGACACGTCACGGGAGTCGGGAAAGCACGGGGATTTATTGTCATGTTTTTCCATCACTGTAAATAAACGCACTGCTAAGCACACAGAGCTCCACGCCTGGGTCCTCCTTCCCTACACCCCCCACGGTCTGCCAGCTAGACCGTGACACCACCTGTGTGAATGTGCAGTGCTTCCACTTTGTAGGTAGAGACACTAGAATTTTTCCCTTTATATGTATACAAGGCATGGAAATATTTGCTGCAAAGGGTGAGTAAATATGTTTACTTACATCTCAGTATTGATGTTCTTCTTCCCCCCCAGCAACAAAGCAAACAGAAAAAGTAGGAATCACTATGTTTCATGTGGTTTTTATAGCCTTTTGATTCCCTTTTACCCCCAAAGTTATGCAAGTTAGGTGAACTGGAGATTGGAAGTACAGCACCATCAGTGTACATTGATCAGACACACTGAGAACAGGTGAAGTGAATAAATGTGCTCAACTCTTCTTAAAATCCAACCCTTTGCTGGGAGATTTTGAGCCCTGACACTGCCTAAACATTGTCTTAGACTCATCAATTTCTTCAGAGTACTGCTGTCTCATTATACCACTTTATTACCCCAAAGAGCTAAAAAGATCCAGCCTATATCAGCTGATTTATTTCCCCGAGGGCTATTGAAAGACTAGTCTTGAGACTTCGATGAAAATCTGCCCTCTTTATTGAGGGATGTGCAGCAGTTGTAACCAAATTGTGCCATAACAGCTATGTAGCCCCATTAACGACATAATCTTATGTTTGTGAATTGGATGGTTAGTTGGTTTCACTTCACAGCACAGTATATTGCAGTGTCATGACAAGTGACTGTTCTGTTCTTTTAACCATGGCCTGTTAAAACTCCATGTTACTCAGTTTGTGTGTGGTGTTGGTATCTCCAAAAGTTGATTCTGTTCATCTGGACGCAGCGTGTTGTGGGAGAAACGTTTCGTCACTCATCCAAGTGACGTCTTCAGTCTCAACTGACTGCAGGTTTCCAATCTTATAAACAGTAAATTTGCATAATGACTGAAACCAGCCCACTGAAGGAACAATGGGCTAGGAGGTCAGTTCCTTGATCATAATTATGCAAATTCTCATGACCATTGATCAACAACCACTGACCGAAACCCACTGATCAAAGCCCACTGATTAATGGCCATGAGTACCATTCACAGAGAGTTGGGAAATGGCTGCAATCACAGCATTGTAAAATAGCGAAAGATGTACCCTTAGGCCCCCTCCTCGATTCAAACGTTTCTCCCACAAAACGCTACGTCCAGATGAACAGAATCAACTTTTGGAGATTTACTTTACTACAACGCTTCTTTAGGTATTATGTTAGCATGAAAAACTTTTGTAAACTTCAGTCAATGTCAGTTGATCATTGCAAAGACTGGCACCACACTGATTGTCTTTAGAAAAAGAAGATGGGCTTTAGGGGCTTGAACTTAAACTGGTAGGCTGGTGGGGAGATATTTAGGTAAGGATATTTAAATTACTGTCCACTGCCACTGTTTATGGAAAATGCTTGCTATTGCGTTTAATTAGTGCACGCATTATAGAATAGAAAGTGTGATGTATTATGTGCCATACATTTACGTTCATGTAAAGTCTGTATATATGTTCCCCATTTTTTAAATTCAAGAGCTTTCCTCTTGCACCACCTTCAGACCAAAGAGTGGGCCTGCACACGGGACCACTATGTTAAATCTCGCAGTTTAGTGTACGTGCCTGAAAATTTATGCTGGTTTCCTACGCATGGTTTACGCATCAAATGGTCTTGCAAAAATAAAAGTAAAACACACACACAAATAAACACTAGACGTCAGAATAAAATGAACTTGCTCTGAGTGCGCTCAGCGCCTCCGCGGTGCCATAGCATGCACTTCTCTAATATGACGATAGAGGGAGTCCTTGTGTAGTAAACTTCCCTTAAAGTGTTTACAAAATCTCGATGTACCTGAAACTTGTGCTTGAGTAATAAACTGAACGACAGTTTCGGACTGCTGTAAGTGAAAGGGGTGTTCGTTTCACAATAGCGAAAAAAAAGGTTTCACAGTCAGGTATTTTTACCTAAAGTAATACCGACGGACTCAATTAAAACCTACAGCAAGACATTACATAAACAAACTTAAGCTGTAGGGCCATACCTGGTTTTAATGTTTTAGTTTTCAGTTATTCACCATTTACAATGGTTCCCTTTAAACGGCGAGGCCATTATCAATCCGTTGGGGACTATATACTGTGGGAGATTACTATTAAACCGAACAGTCAAACACAATTGAAAAGAGGTTTAACAGTTACAGGCTATTATCAAAAGAGGCAAATATGCTCGCCACTGTAGCTACTACTTATGTTCACAGAAAGTTTAACATATCGACCTAAGTAGTCGGACCCCCCTATTCGTCTTGCAGTGGTATCGCCCTTCCCATCTGTTCAGCTCCGGTGAGACTCTGATTGAAACAGATTGTAGCGCTCTCCGGGTCGCAATGGCAACTGTCCCAACAGGACGGCGACACCAACTTTTTTCATGTTTTTAATGTTACGGAGGCACTATACGTCGCGGAAGAATCTACTTTCTGATGTGAGAAATAAACGTTACAGAATTTCTTCAGCCCGAAAATGTCCCAGGGATGTACCGTTTCTGTGGAAGAGATCCAGTCTTGGTGGGAAGTCCCCGCCATAGCCCACTTCTGCTCGCTGTTCAGGACAGCATTCAACCTTCCAGACTTTGAAATAGAGGTAAACAAGAATTGTGATTGCTGGTAGTATCACCAATGGGTTTCATTGCGGAAATGAGAAGTTGTTTGTGTCAGCTTTTTTGCGTACGGGCTGGTGCGAGCGCACTTTGTGTAACTTAGTATTTGGGTAACCAGCTTAGCATGTTCTCTGAACTTCTCACACTGAGGCAATCCTGTTAAAGTAACGAGCCAGCGAGCTCGTTAGCAGAGCTCAAGCTAGCTGTATTCGCTTTGCCCGTTGCCGTTGTTCTTCAAAGTTGAACTTTAAGCGGAGTATAGCATTGACGACACGGCTTGTGGTCCAGTATTTACAGTGACTTGTACGTGTTTGTCTATAAGGATGCTCAGATGTTCGATAAACTTTAGATAGACGTCCTCTTGAACCATGTGCCTCTCGTTTGTTTTTATTTGGCCCGAGGCCCGTGTTTATGTTGCAGAGCAACCGTGCCTCAGGTCATTTAAATTAAAGTAAAGGTACTAAGGAACGGTCGGGAAGATTAGGAAATATAGTTAGAAAAGTGGTCAAGGATACGTGACGGGAATATTTCAGCCAATTAGAATTATGTTGGTTTTACTTGTGTGAATATTTTATTTTATTGCGAGTGAAAGAGCTAAGTAACTGTACGGCGCCGCTGTGTTTTGGTTTCCCGTTTCTGTCAGATAAAGTTAAGTTCATGGTGTGAGGTTTGAGTTTATTGTCTTGGAGGCCATCTGGCTTGTGTAGCCAGGGGACGCAGATGCTGTTCAGTCATTGTTTGCTCGCCCAAGTCCTGTTTTGTTGCAAGAAGCGAGGGGTTTAACGATTTTCTAAGGTTATTAATTGTCTAGGGCAAGTTAGTGGAGTAAATAGTCCACCTACTAACTGTTCTGTCGCAGAATAAACTATATTTATTACACTGTGATTACATAATTCAACTTCATCACTCGATTTGGCCTCCCACCCCCCTTTTTCCTTGAAATGTGTTCAGAGTCGATAGGAAAGCGTAGTTCACGACGCCTAACATGTGCAACATTTACAACATAGATCATGGAGATTGTTTAATTAGTCGAGCAGTAATTGCACTTTAAGGAAACCGGCGAGGTCAACATCGCGCATCAACAGTCTCCATCACTCAGTCATCCCCACCCCCTTCGGGAGAATCACGTAGACATCGTCTTTGTTGTTGAACGAAGTGGCAGCCAGATGGGGGACTAGCATTGCGCCTAGTTTACATGAAAGTTGATCTCCTTAAAGGCCCGATGGGCTTGATTTCAAAGTAATGTTTCAATGATGTATTCCTGTTTTAAAAGAATAACTTAAGCAGATCACGTGTTTGGCTCCATTACTCAGCCGGATTTCGGGGAAATATTGAGATTGATGTAGTAGTCTTACACTTTGACATCTTAATTGGGCACAGAAGTGTCCAAGGTCACAACTCTTTTTGGTTCTCGTTATAATGATCCACTGGGGAATTTACAATAAGAGCTAAGTAGTTACTTAAGCTTATAACTTTTATTGAAAGCTAGTGGAAAGTACGTGTCTTTCAAGGGGAAATGAGCAACATTAGCAACAGTGGTAATACCCCCCTCCCACCAAAACTTCAAAAGAAACCGTTTTAGGTGGGGAAAATGCAAGTAGAGCCCACATTGTCAAATGTTGTCAAAATCCCTCTGGTAGCAGGCTTTCCCACTTTGCAGCCATCTTGAAATGCATCTACCTAGGCACTGATTTGTGCAGTTATTTTGAAATATTATGGGAATTACCTTATATTTCACTGATCCGTAGGAGATGATTCCATATATAGAATCACCTGTCAAAATATTTTTTTTAACATTTGCTGACTTTGTGCCCAAAACAAGATATACAGAAGACTTTTTTTCCTTGAAGTGAATATTTTTTTTATTTTATCTGTAGTTTATTTGTGAGTTAAATGAATCAGGCGGCGTGTGTCTTGTGATCTGGCTGCTTGTGTTTTATTGGGGCTTTCATTATATTATATTCAAAGTAATGCGTAAATCACGTCCATTCAAAAAATTTGCCAGGTAAATTTATGCTCTTCATTTAAATCTTTATTACTGCAAATGCTCTCGTTGGGTTAGGTGATGTTTAGTATTTGCACGTACTGAAATGAAAGGGTTTCTTGTGCTGTTATAGTAGCTGACCAAGATGGAGAGCTTTCAAAAATAATTTTACAATATCTCGAATATTCGACGCACTTCAGACGCTTGCAACTTGTCTTTTTGGTAAAAAAATACACCACCTCTTATCTTTTCAACAAGTGTTCAGTCTTTGGAGCTTTGCTCTGTGTACACCTTGCTGTGTGCACAGAGGTAAGAGCATGTGAACGGCCAGGCACCAGAGTTAATAAGTTGTAAAAAATAAGCAGTTCAGACCACAACATTCAAATAATCTTTTACAGTGCAGATACCAACCGAAAGACTCCTTGCAAATCCCTGCACTTTGGATATTATGATAATGAGCAATCAGCTGACACAGCCCTCTGTCAGGCTGATTTATGCTGTTTTGTTACTGTGGGTTTGCAAATATTCACCCTGGCTTTGAGTCTGGACATTTGGATCCAGCATGTTTACTTTCTGAGGACTTTGCAATGTAGAAAGAAGAAGAAACTGTTTGGCTGACGTGTTTGTTTTGCTTTAATGCCACATAGCAGCAACAAGACAAGCTGGCCCGGGCACTCCCATGAATGCAGCAGTTTAGGCTTACTGTTATTTACCTTTGCTTTTTCTTGTTTGTTTTAAACTTGTATAGTCAACGTTAGTAAAAATCAACGAGGCATTTTGCGCCACATTTAATAATCAGGATAATTTTGGCCTCCGATTAATTCCTTTGACTTGAGGTTCATTTTCTTTTGTCTTCCAAGAGGTGCTTCATAAGGGGAGGTGACTGAAAACGATTTATTGGCTAATATCAGTTAGCTTGTACAGGTTGAATTAAGGGGGGAATAGGGGGCAGGGTAGGGTCCAGAAGTGGCTGTCATTGGTCATGACAGAGTGGGGCCCACTGAGTGATTTAACGTTGGCATTCCTTCTGTCTTCTCTTGTGGAGATGGCATGTTTAATTGGCTGTTATTGACCAGTGTCCATTTTTGCCATCCTCTAGAGAGCAGTGGTCAGTGTTGATGCTGCAGAGGACCTCAAGCAGCTCTGAAAACAGCTTGAAAAAACATGCATTTTACAGTGGAGTTCCATACAAATCACCAATGAATCTGAGAATTCCTAGCAAAAAACGTGGGTGTCTGTAGCACATTGTCGGCCTTACCCTGATTTTCTGGCAGATTATTAGAGCTGAGTTGGTTTGCGAATGTGAAAGGCATCACAGAAAGTTAAGGAAGGAGAATTAAAAACACGAGTTCATTTTGTTACTCACATCTCATCCGAAGTCACTTTGAGTATGGAAAACAGCGCGCGAATATAACATCAAAAAGAGTGGATTTCCAACTGTATCCACTGTGGTGATCAGACAGGCCACAAATCCCGCCTCCTCCACAAACACCTGTTTCTTTTTCTCATAATGGATACTTTTGTTAAGGCTGCCACATGTGAGACCACAGTGTTTAAAGCAATATGAGACTACCACCAAAATGGATATTGACAAACTCTGTGATCCAGTTCACTGTTGTGGCAGCTCTATTCTTTCTATGGTGCTGGTCAGTGATAATGGAGCACTCCCAGTCTCCTTGGCTAGCCTTACAGAACGGCCCCTTGCACATTGTTCCAGCACTGATACACTTCACTGTCGATGGTTTCCACTTTCCTCGAGACTACAGGCAGCAAACCGGGAAAGCAGTGCATGTGTGTGGATGAGAGATGGAGAATACACTGGAGAAGAGTCTTAGAGGTGAGGAAGCAACTTGTGTTTTAGTACGAGTAGCCGTCCTCTTTTTATGCCTTTTTGTGTTGCGGCTTGTGAAAGGTTTCTTGGCTGTTTATCTGGTAAACGATTCCTGAAATCCCACAGCCAGCACACAGTGTAGTCTTCTGTTGCTCAGTCCTCAATGATGTGCCCTTCATGCCAAGGACCTCTGTCCCTGGCTTCATGTAAGTCGGTGCTCTGCTGGCAGCCTGTTTGGCACATCATCATGCATTTGTTCCATGTGTCTTCATTAGCTGCCTGTCGTCTTCTAACTGAGATGTAGATTTAGAGATGTTTTATTTCATCGTAGTTAATAGCTGGTGTGAAAACAACTTAAACGAGAGTCTTTCATGTACTTTTTCTTTGATGAGTAATAAGAGGAAAACGAGATTGCCCAGGAGTGGGTTGACAAATCTAACAATACGTCTTGAGATGTTTTTATGCAGTTTCAATATCCCACACTATGATAAGAGCTCCTCTGCAATCCCTTTTTATCTCAAACAACGAAAACACGTCTAGTTAGGCTAGCCAATCTCTTGCTGCACGTCTGTACACTACAGATCCTATTTGACATGGTTAAAGAAGAATGAGCAGTATGGGCAGTGAGTGCAGCTTTTTAGTAGTGTGGATCACTCGGTGGTAGTGTTGTTTTACTTTTCAGTAAAAATTGTACTGTCACTTCAGAAATTTGCAAAACTCAAATATTTCATCGCTACTGTGGTGAAAAAGCTGTTAAGCTTTTCTGCTCATCTCAAATTATCACTTGAGATGGTTGTGCAGCTGTTGGTTTATTGTAAGATCACAAACAATAGTCCCTGTGCGCTAACAGCATCTGAGGCACTGAATATTACTTTTATCTTTAGGGGCAATATTTCCAAACAATAGTAAAAGCCTCACTCGGGATTTATGCTTCAGCTACTGCGTAGTTATATCACAACTGCATCCCACCCTGACGTGCACCTCCCTTGAAATGTAACAATGCATCGCATCAGTGCAGCCTGCAGCTACTGTGATTGGTCCCTTCAGTGTCATTGATTCCTCCTATGCCAATCATTGTATCAATATAAGAAATAATAATCATATATCATCAATTTAAGGACTCACAGATATCAGCAAAATCCTGAAACAGGGCAAAATACACATGGCAG